GTCAATTGCCTCGTATAGTCCCGTCTTGATGTATCTATTATTCTCAACATCTGAATCTTGTGCATAATAAATGGCGGGGTTGATGTAATATCCGGCTACAAATGTACTAAAAGTTAATACCAATAATAGTATTAAATTTAAAAATTAAATAAATAAAACATAGCAATGTTTTATAAATTATACCGGCATGCAAAGGATGATGAAGTTGGTCACTCCATCGTGCTTGAATCATTGACCACACTTTAGTGATCAGTCTTTCGTGAACGGTGTCAGTCAAGTTCTTCTTAATTTGATCTTTAGCTCTCTCCATATCATCGTATATATAGCCCATACACGGCTTCTCCTCCGTATCAACCAACCGAACAACATCAACCAACGGTGCCAATACCTGACAAGCAAGATAAATATTGTCCCAAAACTCTTGCCTAGCTATTATTCGTTCAATTCTTTTTCCGATGAGTTTCTTGGCAAAGTCACTCTTCCTCCATTGTTCAGAAACAAATAGCACTTGGAGATAATGCCGATTCTCATGGATGCTCTGAATGGTGTAGAATTGTGTTGCGAACCTTGTAACACATGACCGATGCAGTTCTCTATTTTTAGTAAGCATTCGCATCATATTCAAAATCCTTCTGTGGTTATAAATATAAACCACTACCGCTCTCGCATCAGCTAACACACTTTTAATCTTCGGAATTTTCTCTCCGACATCTCCTATCATAAGATTCACGCAATGTGCTGCGCATGGTGTCCAAAACATCTGAGGATATTGTTCTTCCAAGATTTTTCCAGCAGCTTTAAAGTTGGACCCATTATCGGTGACAAACTAGTATAAGTAAAAAACAATTAGTCACTACTTCAATATATGTGTGTGTAGAATAATGTTAATACTTCAATAGAATATTTATTTGTTACCTGCACGATGTTCTCCTCTCCGACATCCTCTATAACCTCATTGATCATCTGTACAATTAATTGAGCATCTTTCACATGCTCCAATGCATCAATTGATTTCAAAAAAATGTCCCTTGTGGACAATTGACCAAAAAATTGATCAAGCTTCTCCCTTTCCCGTCTGTCCAAAAATCGGACATAATAGTGCATTTACTTTTCTTCCAATGTGAACGGAAGGAATCCACAAACTTGTTGGTGTCCTCAAGTACATCTTTCAACAATGTGACCCGAATATTATGATAACTTGGAGCCGGCATGCCTAACAACGATGGGAATAAAGTTAGTACTTACTATTTAATAGTTAACCTTTGAGAAATATATTAGAAATTTGAAGTGGTAATTACCCTTTCCATACTCTCCAACCGCATATATGAACTTTTGAAAGTTCTCATCTTTCACGGCATTRAATGGCAACCCAACCGAATATGCCCAAACCGCAAACTCTTTCCAAGCGGCCAACTTTAACTTCTCTTTGATTGGATTGTTTCTATCTAAAGTGGCTTGCTTTATCTTGGCATAATCGGGCTTCAACATCGCATCAAGAGGCCCGCGAACATCACTAGCGGACTTTCTTTTTAAACCACAAGGCTGTGTTGAGGCTTGTGCTCGTGCTCTTCCTCCTTCGATAATCTCTATTCCATCTACGTCTTGCTCATCCTCATCAATATCATCAACTTCAACCGAATATTGTCGAAGGATTTCTACATTTCTATTTCGTTCTTTCTTTTTCTTATTCTTTTCACTAATGGATGCTAGAACTCTTTTTTTGATGTTGTTACTCGCATTAGGACAACCAATGACGTTACCTCCGGTGTGAGTAAGGTGTTCTTTCAACCTAGTGATCCCCCCACTCATTTTTTTATCACATAAGGTACACCATACATAATTTTTTTTGGTTGGATCTTTCCATACCCCCCATTCCCAAGCCATATCTCCATTGACGCATTYTGTACCCGCATCTGATGAAGTAGTAGTAGTAATCGGGGTCACAGATGCCCTTGAAGATTGACCTCCTTCTCTACTTTCCATTGCTTTTTTTAGTAATTAAGATCTTAATTCTAAGTTTTAACTTCTAACTTCTAACTACGACAAATAAGAATAATCAAGTGAGTGGGTGGGTGATAGTAAGACTGTAAGAGTAGAGGAGATCGAGAAGAGAGACCTTGTTGTCGGCCTTGCTGGCTCTGTTGCTGTCGGCCTTGTTGGGTCTGTCGCAGTGTTGTGTCGATTACAGAGGAGATCGTCGAAGAGCAGAGGAGATCGAGAAGAGAGATCGAGAAGAGAGACCGAGAGTGAAAAGAGAAGACGTTGTGAGAAGAAGAGGTCGTCGAAGACTGTTGAACTAAGTCTCAGATTCAGACCTAACTTAGTAAGCAGCCCAAAAAATAAGGCCCATGGAATAAAAAAAGCCCAAATTTTAACCCTTATAAAATCGGAATATCGGATCGATTTTATCCTCAAAATATCGCTAAATATCGCCGATAATATCGTTCCCGATATTTTGACCGATATTTAAGGTCCGATTTTTTTTAGGAACGATATCCGATATATCGCCGATATATCGCTGATATATCGCGATTTTGACAGCATAGCAAATAAACATGATTGTGTGTGTGTGTGTGTGTGTGTGTGAGAGATTATAAGTCAAACTATTTCAGTATACCCTACTCATAAACGGGGTCAGAGGGTTATGAGATGTATGTGGATCTTATCTTTCTTTCAAAAACTACAGTATCAGTTTCCTTATGGACTTGCTATTTGTAAGGACTACAAAAGAATTGCATATTAAGAACGTTTATAATAGATTCTTTAAAATGGAGATTTTGAGGATTTGAAAAAAGTTTTTTCTTTAACACATTCTTAAAATAGAGAAAGTATGAAATTCTTTAAATTTACAAAACACCCAAATATGACTACCATGAGAATGATGTTTCTTTTTTAGTTTATTTTCTTTAATAAAAAATCTTGAAGTTAAATATTTATGGGGTGTTTGGTTCAGGTTGGGGAATGAAAATGAAAATGAAAATGAAAATGATGGTGAATGAAAATGGGAAAGACTTTTCATTCCTCCTGGTTTAACCTATAATGAAAATTTGGGCTTATGGGAGAATGAACGCATTATATTATACAAACCAAACAGTTTCTTTTATTATTATTCTCATTGATTAATGGTTAATACATCTAACCAAACACCCACTTAATGGAGAGAAATAATATTTTATCAAATATTTTAATGATATAATTAATATTGTAATCTTCAAAATAGATAAACTGTTGGAGTTGAATTTAAATGGATTTTGATTTTCTTTTTGAATAAAATTTTGGACAATCTGTTGGAACTGTTCTAAATGGATCAGATATGAAGAAATATTTTATTTTGGGGTGATTTATGATAAGTTTTAAGATTTGAAGTGGTGTAAATGAGGCGGTATTAAAGATGAAGGACTGTCCGTTTATATCTCTCCAAACTTCATTTGAAGTTTAGGGATGTGATGTTCTTCACTGGGAAATAAAGCAGCAGGCAAAAGACGTAGCACGCCGCCTATAGAAGCACAGCAACCACTAACTTCCACCGTTGTTCATCTCCGGTGCCTGTCTTTTTCCTTGTAGGTGGGCATTCTATGTATTATTTATTGATTTTGGTAACTCCTTTGTGAATAAATCTAGATTGTTAGATTTATGTTTATATAATCACTGAAACAGAATAGGAGTATTGTTCTTTGTATGTGTTTAACGATCTTCACTGGAAGTAGATTGATCGGAAATGCTATGGGGTGGACTGTTAAGTCTTGTCGCAAGGGAAGTGCATACGAAGTGTTCGATGAAATGCCTGAAAAAGATTTTTGCGGGTTATCATTGGTACAATGATACTGTGATTTCTGATTACAATATAAATGGGTCATCGAAATCTTCAAGTATAAATTTTCAAAGAGCTAATTATAAGATTGGACGAATTCATTGGTGAATGTATTTCTGGTGTACGTACAGTAGTTGTAGTGAGGTGTTGCAATCCTATAACCCACTTTTTATCCTGCAATTTTCAGTAAGGTTGTGCTGTGATAGTACACCAACGCTTTGTATTTTGTACTATTTAACACCTATTTAAGATAGTGTCTACATGGATTGATGGATGACCATTCTACACCAAGGCTACCTAGTTCTGCAAGGTTTGGGAGGGAAACTTTGTATGCAATCTTTCCCATGCATCTTGCATAAAATTTGTTTCTAAGATTCGAGTTTATGACCTTTAGGTCACAAAGGAGTGACCTCTAATGTTTTTTATATGTTCGTTTGCGCAATATAACACTCACCCAAGAGAGTTCAGTTTTTGAACAAATGATCAGTTAATATTATTAGGATGTCTTCGTTCATTCCTGCATGAAAGTGATCAATACATGTTTCAGGTTTTGCACTTGAATAAAACATTATAGAACCATTTTATTCACGGTTTAGGCAAGGAATTTTGGAAAGAGTAAGTTTTGTATTGCCATGCATGTTCCCTTACGCATTTGATTTTTTTTTTCATTCCAATGTGCTGCAATAAGTTTATGGTCGAGGTACATTCAGTAGGATGACTCCTCAATTAGTCTTATTGAGTTGTAGGAAACTGTATGATGAATACCTGGAATGGATGATGTGACTGCCCTTTGAAGGGGAAGAAAAAGATAGCTGGTTAGATGTGGTGGGATTTGCATTCTCTGTAACTGGAAAACATGATTATAACATAGATAGTTTTGGTTATTGTGCATGTTCGAAGCGCTATCGGATTGCGGACGCAAAATGCTAGGTTTTTGTAAATTTAACAGCTTCCCACTATGTTGAAGTGTTAGAACAAATTTAACAATATACTAGTAACGAGGGAGGTTCAAGAGAAAACCCCCAAAAAAGATGAAAACTGAGGAACACCTTGATAACCATTCATCTGGACCATATGCATATGTGCATACACGAATTGAAGTTGTTTGTCAGTTTCTACATGTACACGTGCATACCAGACAAATTTCTTACAAATTACTTGTATGCACATGTGCATACCATCCAGATGAATGGTTACCAGGGTGTTTCTCAGTTTTTTCATTTTTTTGCAGTTTTCTCCTGAATCTGACTCTACTAGTAACATATAATTTCAACTTCCAAGTGCCAATTGAGATATATCTTAACTTGAATTTCATGCTATGTGTTGTGGGTTCATGTGGTTATAGGATTATTTGGCACGCCATATCTAATTAATGTTGCTAATTGAATGTTAATCCAATTGTGATGCCAGTTATTTGATCTTTCAACTGATGTAGGGAACATAAGTGACTAATGACCACCAATATGACACGTGTAAATAATTGAATCTCACATTGTTCTTGCTTCTGAGGCTATATAAGAAGATAGATATGTATGTTCTGAGGAACCTATTGTTTAAGTATTTAATTTCTGATTCAATTTATTTCCGCTTTTGAGACTCTATTTATATGACTTCACAAGTGTATTTGATGGCTTCTCAACATTATCGATAGCTGTATATATTTTATTGACTTTATCATCAACAAGCATGGTTCTGTTAGTTTTCTGCTTGTTGTATTGTGTATTGGTAATATCATCATCCTGTGAGTTCTTTTTTGTTACATTGGCATTCTCATATAACATTTTCTCTTTTTTCATCTGTAGCTCACCCAAAATATCTCGCTGGGAACTCCTGGTGAAGACTTCCTTTTAGCATAAGTCATGGTGGGCTGGCACCGACATGTGCAGTCTATACTCCGACAAGTCGGAAAAAGATTGGAAAACAGCTGTCATGCTCATGCCAACTTTTCCAGTTCTTCATTGAAGTTCTCTCCAGTTCAAGGTTAAACATTGTTAAATATCTTTTAGATGGCCATGTTGAACTTTTTACTGCTAGGATGGGAGAGCCATCTCAGGCTTAAGTTGATTTTCTTTTTAGTTGTTGAACAAAGTACTCTAGCTTATGGGAAGTAGTACACACTTATCATTCCTATATTCTTCTATGACATAATGATTGTGTAATGTTTCCCTTACGTGCTCTTGTTGATATCATTTTAGCATGGTGTAATTAATATTATTACTTCTGCAGGTTTGCCACCTCATTTACAGGTCCTCTGGGTTCCATCTTCTACGAATGTCTCAAGACCTTCGTATCATCACTTCCAGCAGTTGGTAATGCTTTGGATTTGATTTGCATTATCAATCTATCATTTTTGTTTGATCATTTACAGTACATCTTAGGTTAGTACAGTAGAACTGATGAGATATTAAGTGGAAGCAATACGTATCTGCAATCTGATCTTACATCTCTATGCATGTCTCTAAGAAAACTACTCATTGTGGAAGATATACTTAATATCTAATTATTGCATGTTGCATCTTGGCTACTTTCTTTTTGGTAATTGTTAGATTAATTGCAAGTTGAAGAGTTTACCTCTTGCGCTTGATGGTTGTTCAGTATGCCTTTGAGAACTGTAAAGTAAACTACTATGTTGTGGTCTAGACAACATGTTTGGCTGTAGAAAGTACTATGTTGCCTTTTCATTTGTGTTGGTCCATCTACATAAAAGTGGTCTATTCAGCTTATTAGAAACATTGTAGTGTGTTGAACCACTTGCCCAGAAAAAAATTGTCTTTGAAACTGCGTACATATTTATTATCAGTGCCTGTACCTCTGGCACTGCTATTGATTATATTACCATTGCACATATTTACGGTGCCTTGAAGGTGTTGGTTTGGTAATTGAGATTAAGCTTTTACTGGAACCCTGAATAGTAGTAGAAAACTCTGCAGAATAAGCTATGGAACTGATCCCGCCGAAAGGTTTTGTTATCATGAAACTTATATGTTTTTCCATCTATTGTGGCAGGGATTTACTAGTACAAGAAGATTACTTTCATCTGAAGCAACCCCAGGTCCATCTCCCTTGACACCAACATTGGCTATAGGCAGCGGACAAGCTGAAGCTGAGAAAGCTGTCTCCAAACCTTCAAAAGTCCAAGCAATTCTCAAAAACATAAAACAGGTGTGAGATACCACTTGATCTTTTTTTTTCATTGATCAGTAATCACAAAGTTATTCCGAAAATACAATGTTGCTGGATTGTGTTTGAAGGAGTAGGTGACACAGTTGTCATGCAAGTCTGGATTCTATAACCAACTAGTCTTGTCAAATCAGTAACCAAAACAAATTATGAACACAGCCACAAGTTCATCTTGACTAATGTGTATTATCTAATTTCTCAAGCTTTTAAATAATATCCCTGGTAACATAACACCTAAGAGCATCTCCAACAAATTCTTGAAAATTTCTCCAAAATGGAGAATGAAACTTCAAAATCTCTAAAACAAAAATATATTCAACTCCAACAGATTCTTTGGTTTTGAGATTATAACATTGGTTATATTATTAAAATATTCCTTTCATCTAATTAAATATTGTTTCTCTCTCTAAATATTTATATTCAGAATTTCCTATTGATGGAAATATATTAAATAATATTTTTTCTCATTGTAATCATTTTTGAGGTGTTCTCTATGTTTGGAAATTTTTACTCTCTCTCTCCTACTTTCTCCATTTGTAGCAAAAAACATCCCCAAAATCTCAATTTTCTCCATTTTGGGGAATCTGTTGGAGATGCTTTCACTATGCTGAAGTTGGTTATTTGAATCCTTTCCCAGACAAGAACACGTTGATCAACCATCTAAAAATTGTTGGCCTGGTTTCTCGACAGTTCCTTTATTCCTCTTTGTTTAACTTTCTTTTGCTTATTGTTGAATGGTATATTATATATAAATATTATTGTTTTACTGTTCTTTAATGATTGATGGTCCCTTTAATTATCACCTCTTCTCATATATTCCTTTCCATCTTCAATCCTAAACAACAATTGTGAACATATAGTGATTAGATAACGTAGTTGTAAGGCTTGCACCAAGGCTTGGCTCTAAAATGCATTTGCACCTGGTCAAACTCAAAGGGGTGGTAGCAAAATGTTGCTTCTCTCTTCTCTTGTAGTCTTTTTTCTCGTATTGAATTGTGATCTCATGAGACCTTTAGACACCAATTAGTGTCTACTGTTTGAGAAATTAAGCTCATAGTTCATGTAGAGATGCTATTTGGTCTGTTAGACCCTTCTTATTTTAGGATTGCTTTGCCTTGCTATAGCGTATAAATTACATTTCAAGTCTCATTTAGCCTGCCAAGATTAGTTTGGGAGGATAAGTTTGTTGTATGCTGTTTTGTTGTAGGCTATGGTTTCTGCCAGGGAGACTATTGGTATTGCATGGTGTCTGCTCTCTATATTTGTAGGTCATTTAACATTTTCATTTTAGACGGAGGATCATGTGAGAATAGAAGTGAAGGTGAGAAGCGTACAAGGGAACTGGGCCCGTGATCACTTTTAATCTCACCCCCACCCCATGACTTGTGCTTGATACAGGAATTGATCCGGTGCATTTCTTTAGTGTTGATCTTCAATTAGGATTGATCCAAAGGGTGGAGATCCCTTCTCACCCTTCTCAGTTCTCCCCATGACTTCCATTCTTACTAGAACCGAATCCTTTCATTTTATGGGTCCTACTTATACGATGCATTGAGAATGCCAATATGATTGTGGGTCCTATCTAGTCTATATAAGGATAAATGAAGATGGGTACCACCATGAGGATGAGAATGGGGGAAAATTGTATGAAACAAATGGATCAAAATTAAAATGTTACTATGTTTTAGCTTTGAATTATAAATAGGTACTAACATGTTGGAAGATGATTGTTGTACTTATGGGGAAGTTTATGTCCTCGCTAATTACTAGGATTGTTTGAGCTTCAATATACACATGATGATTTCGTAACATATTTTGATCAAGATGCAATTAGCTTCCTACTACAATTCTATTTTGTGTTATCTTTTATACACTTTATGGTTTCAGAGCCCGAAGAAGGTGAACTTGGTTGCAGCATTGGTTCGTGGCATGCGCGTTGAGGATGCATTATTGCAGTTGCAATTGACAGTGAAACGTGCATCCAAAACTGTCTACCAGGTGATAAGACACTCCAATGTGTTATTGATGTTTAAATATGAATAAATTCATCAATTCTTTTAGTTCTTATCACTAGAATGAAAAGTCTTAAGACCATACGTAGAGATCATCTCATTCTTTAAACGGAATTTCTGATTTCTTCTTGGTTTCCACAAATATGCTTATCCAGTGTTATTGCCTTCATTCATAGCAAAGAGGGTCTCTTTTTTGGGTTATGGACTACATAAATTTAACAAGTATTCGCACCAAGATTGTTTCACTATTATCAAATTTGTGTTGCTATGTTCATGATTACTGATATCTGCTGATCAAATGATGATCCGTCTGTGCAGGTTATCCATTCTGCCCGGGCAAATGCTACACACAATTATGCATTTGATGGAGATCGCCTTATTGTTGGTAATACGACATTAAACCCAAAAAACTTCCATTTGAACATAATTACTTCAGTGAGCCGCATCATCATGTCATTCTGTTTATGGTCTTTAAACTCCCATTTTTCTTTCCATTTTAATTTCTACGATCGTAGAACATCACATAATTGATATATAGGTCAACGTGATTATGATTTTTAAAATTTTGACATGATTTTATTTTGAACAATTTGGTCATTGTGTTTCAGATTCCCTTTACAATGCTATGATCACTGTCAAAGGGTGTCCTGTTATTAACTTAAATGCTGGTAAGTCATGTCTGTCCAATGGTCACATGGCAAGGTCATTGGAGTTTTGGACATTTAGAGAAACATCTTGAACGTAAAACCACAACCAAAACCTTATATGACCTTAAATCATTCAATAATCAATAGCATTGATTCACTAAGTAACACTATTATGTGTGTGTGTGTATGATACACAAATTTGACGTCTTAAGTTGTACCTTGAAAACGTTGTGGCTCCTAAATGTGAGACTTAATCACGCCTCACGTCATACGCCATTTAGAACCTTGGTTTTGACACATCAGCATTGATCACATCTGGCTTGTCACATAGGGGTCTAGTCGGCATTTTTGTTACTAATCGGACACTCTGACGATAATGTTAACAATATAAGGAAGTCTAATCACTCTCTTGACTTTTCTTTTCGGCTGTATCTGACTTGAGAACTTTCTTTCCCTAACACGGTTTCATTTGCTACAGCCGAAGCATTCGTTGGCAAGGGATTCTTCAAGAAGCGGGTCTCATATCATTCCAAAGGAAGAAGTGGAGTACGAGTGAGACCCGAGTGTCGGCTGACAGTTGTTCTAAGGGAAATAACCCCAGAAGAGGAAGCCGAAATAGCTAGACTAAAAGTCAACAATTTCGCAAAACTCACTAAGCGGGAAAGGCGTCTTGTCCCACATAAGCTTATCGAAACAACCCCGATCTGGAACCGCAAAGGGAAACCCAGAAATCATGGAGATGATGCAGCTGCTATGGCAGCATGAGATTAAGACTATTCCCAGAAAGAATAACATCTTAGGACCTGAAAACATTAACGTTTATTTAGTTTATGAAAACTGAGATTTCTGCTTTTTGATGTTTTGAATCCTTTGATGCTGTGGCAATGGTGATGAGTTGGTGACGCTGTAAAAACAAAATGTTTTATAGTGGCCAAAATGAGAAATTTAGAACTGTGGGGTCGAATTTGAATGATGAGGAAACCTTGGTGGTTGAATTTGAATAATGAGGAATCTTGAAATTAATTCATCCAAAAATGATATATATTTGAGATGAAAGTATTCGATAAAGGTAAGATCTGTATACATATTAACTTCATGTGGAATTTCGTGTGTTTGTTTGATTTTATTTGGGTTTTTTATAATATTTAGCTTGACATTTCAACAAGAATATTCTTTGATGAACATGATTTTTTGGTTCATTTTTTATTTACAAGCCAAAAAAGTTTAAATTATACTCATCCAAGTATGTTGTTTGGCACTTAATAGTTAAGACAATTTAGAAATCAGTACAGTTTCGAATACAATCTACTCAGATACAGAGTTATTGAAGCCTTTTGAATGTTTTTCCGACTTCAGTATTAGTTTAAGTATATGAAATTAACTGGTTGTCCGTGATAGTAATCGTGCCGAGTCAAGCTTAATTTAAGTCTTTGGTTTCGACTTTTTGATTCCTATCCAATTGTTTGACATTTTTTAAATCTTTAAAAATAATATTCAATCTTTATACAATATCACACAACTCCATTCATGATCACATATTAACATGCCATCCAAATACCCTTTACATCACCAAGAAAAAGAAAAGGAAAAACAAGCACATGAATCT